TTAGCCTGATCCATTCAATTTATCAATTATTTCGCTCTCGCACATAATAATAATAATGGTTATAATAATGGTTATAATAACAATAACAACAATAACAGCAATAATTGTCGTAAACATTAATAAATACGATTCAATAAATACGAATTCAATAAATATTAAATACATTTCAAAATTTACTTTATTACACATAGTATCATTATACTTGTTACAAATTCGCGTTTCTCGGGATTATGAAATATTATAAAAACTTACCAAATGACGGTCACCAGCCACCAACAAGATAATTCTTTTCGATAAACTGGAAGAACGTCAAGAAACCAGTAATAAGAAAAGGAAACGGACAATCGAACAAAAATTTGGAACCAGAAGAAAGTGAATATTTAAAAATTCATAAATTAATGTTAGGTGATCAAAGAAATGGGTATTAAAAGGGATTCAAAAGGGTATCGACCCACAGTTCTTCTTTTACTGAGAGAAAAGAGAGACTGACAAGAGAAAAATAAGGAAGGATCAACTCTAGGCTAAGAGGATCGAAAGAAATACAAAAACAAAATTTATATAAAAAGAAACAATGAAAAATGTGAACGATATAACAATATAACAATAAAACAATGTAAAACCTGGCGAATTTCCAAGAAAAGCCCAAAAGAAGTTCCAACTAAAGAAAAATAAGTACATAAAAATGTTAATAAAATGAAAATAAAGAAAATGACAACAAAATAATAATAAAATATCACTTTCTAGAAAGATCTACTTTTTTTTTAATGTATATATCTCTATATATGGGTACAGTCAGAACTAACTTGTTAAGACGATGTTTGATAAAACGAATATACATGATTACTTCGGTTTTAAAGAGTTTTGACTGTATTAGGAGAGATTAGCACCATTATCCCCTTCTTTGATGGCAAAATTAACTGTTAAGGGCGTGTAGATTTTTAATTATTATTATATGGATAGTGAGTGAGTGAATGAACTGTGTCCCAAAGGATAGTAGGTTTAATCTTTGTGTCAATCCCAAATGAGGAAAAAATAAGCAACTATGATCTCATTAATATATCAACATTTAGTGTTAAAAATAGACAACTTTATTTATGAACATATAAATAAATAAAAAAAAAAAAAAATTCAATAATTGAGTTTAAATAATCGAAAAATATTTTAAATGAAAATGAAAGATTATTATGTTTTGTGTAGAACCAAACATCAAAAGAAGTTAATGCACATGCATCTATTGTATATTCTCATTGTCCATTTTTAGCAATGCATATTGTCAAAATGTTTCAAACCTGTTCTTAAGTAAGTTATAAACTCGATGAGTCGGACACATCAATCAATTGTTTAAAGCACTTGATAATATAAATAAATGGCCAATTTTATCAAGTTTATTGATATTATATATACTAATACTAATAATATGGATTTATGGAATAAATAAATCGGGAAGTGATTTATGAAAGTTGCACGAAAAGAAGTCAAATACTGATCAAAGTCCAATTTGATAGTGTTAATCAATAATAATTAATTAACTCAAGGAAATTATCAAGATTATTCTAACATTCTAAATTGTAGTTCTTTGAAAATAATTTGCTCACTTTAAAAAGAACCTGGAATTATTCTTAAAAAAAAGGTCTTGTTTATTTTAAGGAATACATTTGATTAGAACAAATTGAGAATTCTTGGAAATCAGAGAGCTAGATTATTGAACCTTTTGATTACTTCGGTTTTAAAGAGTTTTGACTGTATTAGGAGAGATTAGCACCATTATCCCCTTCTTTGATGGCAAAATTAACTGTTAAGGGCGTGTAGATTTTTAATTATTATTATATGGATAGTGAGTGAGTGAATGAACTGTGTCCCAAAGGATAGTAGGTTTAATCTTTGTGTCAATCCCAAATGAGGAAAAAATAAGCAACTATGATCTCATTAATATATCAACATTTAGTGTTAAAAATAGACAACTTTATTTATGAACATATAAATAAATAAAAAAAAAAAAAAATTCAATAATTGAGTTTAAATAATCGAAAAATATTTTAAATGAAAATGAAAGATTATTATGTTTTGTGTAGAACCAAACATCAAAAGAAGTTAATGCACATGCATCTATTGTATATTCTCATTGTCCATTTTTAGCAATGCATATTGTCAAAATGTTTCAAACCTGTTCTTAAGTAAGTTATAAACTCGATGAGTCGGACACATCAATCAATTGTTTAAAGCACTTGATAATATAAATAAATGACCGACTTATCGAGTTTATTGATATTATATACACTAATACTAATAATATATATAATAATGATTTATGGATCACGGGAAATCAATAAATAAATCGGAAAACACGCAAATATTGATCAAAGAATTCAAACCAGCCCAATTTGATATTATTAATTTCTCTTTATATAACTATAAGCTCGGTTCACTTATGACATACACAGTACACACATCAAAAAGATTACATCCTTATCTGATTCTGCACATGTGGCTCAAACATCAAAAATTTTTCCAATATCTTGCCAAATTACTTATGAATAATGTTTCGGGATCAATTATACAGAAGTTTTAGTATTAGGGAATAAGAACTTAAGTGCCTTGCTATTAAAAATGTAATCATCGAACAAGACTCTGAGAACACATATTAATATTTATGTATATAATTTTGGATTTTTTAGAGTCTTCTAAATGATAAATCATCATTTGAAATTTTTATGAATTCGTTTCCGTAACATTTTCTGGTTGCAAGCATATATATATATTATGGTTTTTTATTGGTTGAACATCAATTTAAATATAGAAAGCATAAACGATAATTATTAATTGTGATCAGTAAGTTTTACCATATTTTGTCCCTTTCCTTAGCAAGTTTCTTGTTTTTATTATAAAATAAAAAGTTGTTCATAAAAATGAATGTTCTTATTCACGGGTTGCTAATACACGGTGGACAGAATACGGTAATAACATTTTATAATGAACCATCATTACTTGCGTAGCAATTTTATTACCTAACAAAACCATACATTCATTCTTTAATAGGTCGTTTAACAATTTAGGATGACCAACATCCAACATAGTTAGATGTTGAATGAAATAAAAATTTATTTCACAAAATAATTTCATAAAATCGCTCAACAGTGTGGTATGCATAAATAAATTAATATCAATGTAGCTTAATTAGGCGGTGAAAACAGTAGATGTTGTTATTATTTGGCATAATTTTAAATTTAATCACCCATAAAGAAAAATGTGCCATATGACAGGCTTTAGAGCATTTTGAAATTTGGACGACACCACGGTTACATTTACCTTTGTCTATTTGCTGTCTTGGTGGAGATATTAGCCTGGCATTTGCAAGAAACTCTTGTTATGTCTTTTTAATATAGAAATTTATTTACAAAATCTATTTATTGTTACAAAATCAAGAATTCAAAAATGAATTTCTGGCAATTATTCATTTGTAAAAGAAAAATTTTATTCTATGATTATTCATCAACAACAAGTCGAAGGATATTTAACAAATTAGATCTAATAACTAAGGATGTTAATTTGCTTCGGTCAAGCATTAAATTGAGTTTAAATACAAATTTGATTTAATATTTTTAATGTCCACTCAAAACGCGCTTCAAACATGTATTCAATTATAATTAAAGATTACATCATAAATAGTTTTACTTATTAGCAGAGCATGTTTGAAGCACATGCTCAAGAATAAATATATATAATGATAAAAATATGAAAATGTAACATTTGAATAAATTTAGCATGTTTAAGAATATTTATATAACTATAGTAACTTATATTTTGGTCAATGCCTATTTTTTTTTAAAAAAGTTCAATCTGCTTGAATTCCGAGTTGAACTGACGAACAATTACATACACACATGATAACATCTCAATTGATACTCATAATCTATTGACAATGTTCCAATTAGTACAAAGTAGATATAACTGCGACAATAATCCTGGCAGGTTTCGTTGTATGTTGTGTTGGCATTCTTTCTTTCGTGTACATTGTTTTATGATTGCTGGCTTTCAATCGGTTTTCCTCGCCAGCCTTGCCAGAAGCTGAGGCACAACGTGCCGATTGTGAGGGTTATGACCGAACTGGGTTGCAAAGCAACCTAGCATCCTATTTTTCAATGATGTAATGTTTCATAAAATAGATTATTTCGTAAGCAATGATCCATTAATTGAATCATTGACCGCTATAGATGTCCTGCACTATATATTAGAAATTATTATAGTAAAATACTCAACGCGAAAAAATGAATTCTGAATGCAGAGAAATTTTGGCAGGAAAATACAAAGGAAATATATCATTATACACGTACATTTACTAAATCGAAGCCATATTCAATATGCAAAAATGGGAATAGGAAAGACTTAATACATTGATATGGTAAGTGAGTGGGATGAACAAGTTTATTATAGTAGAAATGCTTATCATATCAAGTGTTGGAACAAATTACCAGATCCAGGAACTGAGATAACAACCGGAAAACAGATTTGGTCAAAATTAGCTTTGTTTTTTTCGATCTTTATTACATCAAATGTTCATGGATGTCACCAAATCCACCCCAAAAATAAATATACAAATCATGAAATATCGTAGTAATAAATAGTAGTATCAGATAATTTAAGAAAAAAATTTTCTTGTAATGGTTTCAATCATTTTAAACTTTTTTACTTTAGGTCCAATCCTTTCAGATCTAATGTTGTTACCAAATCATACTAGCATAGTAACTAGCAGGCTTTATTATTAAAGTTTACATAATGAATGAATGAATTTTAGATATGAAATTAGTTAAAGAAAACTAATTTAAGGCCTTTAGGAACTTATATATTGAGCCACCTTATGTACGAAAGCAAACTGGTATAGGACATTGTTGCCAACAAGAGAGCTGTCTACTGGGTTACCAGGATCTCTTTTCCAGAGTCAAAGTGTGCCTATACTCATCCATGCCAACTATCTCCAATTGCCACTTCAAATGGTGATACAATCAAGCAGGTGCTCCATATCCAATAGCAGTTTTCCACCCCCTTTTCCCAAGTATATTATGGACATGATAGGGGAGGATAGTTTCTGGAGCACCTGAAGCTAAAACAGATTTGTATATTTATTATTTTCCAGAATACCATAAAATTGTACTTAAATGTAACAGACTTTGTTGTTCCTAATTTTCTAACTCGAATTCTAATCTTTTATTGTAAATAATCAAATAAGTATATACATATTGATTATTCTAAACTAGTTTTTGCACTGTTTTAAATCACAACAATAACTCCAAATTTCAGACCATTTGTTCATCTCCAGTACATTGAGCACACTGTACTTGCTGCTGGAACTTTCAAAAGAGCATCAAGTTCTGATTTATTAACTGGTAAATGAACTGCACCGGTCATTTCATTCTCAAAATCAAATAGCTCCTGGCCCAAGTATTCTCCTGTATCGTATTTTAGCACCCAGCTGCCTTTATAGTCAAAGATTATCAAAGAAGAAGATAAGGTTGAGCACAGCTTCATCATCATATTCCAAGGCATCTTCTTGGGTTAAGTAAAAGAAAGACAATCTCCTGTTGCTGTCATCCATCAAGACAGACCATCTAAAGTTCTTGCCCATAAGATCTACAAAGACATTAGTTAGGAACAGTGTGAATTCACTGTCATATGTATTGTTGATATGTTATTCAGGAAAAATTTTATGTCTTACCCAGAAACTTCTCTACTTGTGGATGATTTAATCGTAAATGTCTTCTTTTCTGTTTTATTGCTGATTTTCAAAAATTGACAAATCCTTCTTGAATGGTTTTTCATGACTAATTTCTAGAACTTTCCGAAATCATCACTAGAAATTCTAATTTACCTTGTAAAATGAATTTATATAATGGTAATATATTAATAGATGGAGGTAATGGTTTTATTACTGATTTAAGAAATAAAACTAAATTGAACACTTTACAAAATGCTTACCTTCACAAGTGAATTTTTTGTGATCAAAATATACCAAGAGAAATTTAAAATTGTTTGGTAAAAAGAGAATTGTATCCAAATGTTTTATTTGGTTAGGGTCCCTAAATGTAATTATAACTCCATATTCAAATATTTGTAAATCCAAAATTACGAATTTGAATATTATTTTGGATACTTGTACATATTATTTCGGATATTTGTATTAATTTTTTCTTGTTTTTTAATTGATAAAGTTTCTTTTTGGACATTGTCAATTTGATTGTTCATTTCAAGCTATATCAAAAAATTATTAATAAATTATATCATCATACAGCACAAATCAAAAAATTACCATATTTTTTATCAGGTGTAAGGGCACTGACATATGGGACATGTCACAGCAAAAACCACCTCTCAGAAAAATAGATTATTTTGAGTAAACACATGTTCAAAATTTGTTACACAGAAAAAAGAAAATTGCCCCCTAAAATTTTTTGATCATCAATTATCTCCGAACTATGTAATACTAAAAATTATAATGGCCGAAGTTTTATCAATTTTATGTAATACATACTAAAAATTATAATGGCCGAAATTTTATAATTTTATCAATTTTATAAGTATAAATATTGTACATAAGAATTTTTATCTTAAATAAAAAATAAAAGCTTTAAATTTTATAAAAATATATCAAATCAATATGTCTTCAATTAATTCAATCCCAGAATACAATTTATTTGATCTAGAATTAGTGGATTATGAAGAAAATAATTTAGTAGTTGATGTAGTTGAGGATTTAAAATTGTTTTTCCAGAGCTCTGAATGTAAATGTCATAAAACAGAAATAGACTCACATAATTGTTTTGAAAAAATAGGCTTTAAAAATTTTTTTGAAAGATATTTTGAATTTAAAAGTTTAGATAAAAAAGAAAAAGATCTTTCCATCAAAACACAATTGATGGTTTTCAAATTTGACAGTGGAGATTCACTTATTAGGTATCAATACAAATATAATGCAGCAATATCCATTTGCCGACCTGTATTCTTAAAGCTATGTAATATTAAAGTAGATGTGTTAAAAGCTTTGCAAAAACATTTACAAACAAATGGTTTAGAAGATCGTCAACATGGTAATATAAAAAATATTCCCAAACTTAAGTCACGTGCATTTGTTAATATAGAATTAGCAGAAATAGTGAAGCAATTTATATTAAATTATGCAAACCTATATGGATTGCCATCTCCAATGAGAATTCGTGACAATTCAGACCCAATTATTTATCTAAAAACTAAATGTAATTATACTTCAGTTTTTAATGAATATGTAAAAAGCTTTGTTGATAGTTATGGCACTTCTATAATTAATTTAAAATATAGAGCTTTTGTGAAACTTTGGAATCAATTAACACCACATGTTAAATTTTTAAATCCCTCAAGTGATCTTTGTGAGATTTGTGAAAAATTTAGATTAAAATTATTTAAATTAAAATCATTAAATGAGGAGGATGAAGAGATTGACATGCAATTCAAGTTTGATGATCATCTTGCAGCTGCAGATTGTGAAAGACAACATTATAACAAAA